ATCTAGACATCTGGGTGGCACTTTTAAGCTTCCATAGTTGTGAGGGATGGTTTACTATAAATTTTATTCAACACACCAACAAAAGGAAAATCTGGGCAAATGGTGCCATGGTAAAACAGCGCCCCCTATCATTAAAATATCTCGCTCAGAAAGCGATGTACATAAATAAAAAAAAAGTTTATCGAGTAGAATTTGTTCTGGACAACATATGCAATTTCGCAAATTCTTAACTTAAAATAAACGAGAAATGGCATTTGGAACACAGTATAATGCTAAGTGACAGTAAAGTGATCGCAGTCTAAAGATGATCTATAGCTCTCTGTTCTAAAGCATCAATATCTTATTTCTAGCACTTGCGAATGAGAGGGCTAAGTATAATTTTATTTACATGTCATCAATATTATATATAAGAGAGAATAGACTGCGTATAAAAGCATTGTCTCATTGATATGTAATTTACTTTATTGAATCTGATATATAATCAACGATTATATTTGTGCAAAATGTTCAAATAGAAGCACATTCAGTATAAGTAACTAATGTAATTAGTTAAAGTAATAATACAGGAGACTTTATACTTGGTTTCTCCATGATATATAGGCCTATATCTGTTTCACAAAAAAATATATATATATATATATATATATATATATATATATATATATATGTATATATGCACATATATATATTATACGTATGTGTATTGTAACTAAAATATTGATAGTAATAATAACAATAATAATATCAAGATAATAAATCCAATTCACATTATACTAAGTCACGTGCGCCAATGAATATGAATGCGCTCGAAAAAATAAATAAACGAATAAAACAGAAGATAGAAGAAAAGAAGAGAACAGAAAACTAGACACAAAAAAGCAAAAGACAGAATGAAAACATGAAAAGGTGAGCTTTCAGTCTCATTTGGAAAATCTCTAGTGATGGAGATTCACTCACAGATTGTGGCAAATCATTCCATAATTTAGGAGCGGCAACTGAATAAGCTCTATCTCCGTATGCCTACATTAGGGAATACTAAATGGATGTAGAGGTACAGGTAGTTAATCTCGAAGTGCGTACATATGTAAAGGAGCGCAAAGTTGGAAATATTAGGAGATATGTTGTTGAGAGATATGAATATAAAATAGCAACATCCTTTTTTTCCCTTATCATTATCATAATCACCAACGTTATAATTATTTAAATCGTTTTTTGTTTTGTTATTTAACATATAGGGGTTGGATTTATAAGAACTTGTGTTTGTTAGAGGGGCATGACTGTTCTATTAATCATTGTTACTGTACGTTTGATGTTTAGATCTTGATGATGTATGATTTGTTTCTGGGGTCTGCGGAGGACAAGTGATTGTTATTCCAGAGCTGCAATCCCACAAGATAAATAATAATAAACAGACATGCAACCAACCAACCAATTTTACTGATCTTATAATCATAATCAGCATCCTCATCATTGTCAGCATCCATCTTCATCAATCACCATCATCATCATCATCATCATCATCATCATCATCATCATCATCATCATCATCATCATCAATGACCAATAATAGTGTTGAGAGTCTCTGAACTCAAGTGTTAAGTAATTAACCAATCTGAAAAAAATACTAGCAGGTTCTTTCAAACAGTTATGAAACAATCTGGAATCAGGGGTGGCGCCAGCGGGGGGCCGGGAGCCAGGGCCCCATGTCGGGGAGAGCTGCCCCCCCCCCCGTCGGGGAAAAAAGCACAATTCGTCGGGGAGAAAAAAATATTATATGTATTTTGATATTAGTAGACTCTAAAATCGATTAAATAAGCTTTTAAAACCCCTAACTTGTCAAAATTTTCGGGGGCTTCGCCCCCAGGACCACTTTCAGAACCTTTTAATCGAAGGTCGACCACGCCCATTTTACTTTCGTCGGGGAAATCTGACACCTCGTCGGGGGCATCGGCCCCCCGTCAGGGACCTTCCCCCCCCCCACCCTCGTCGGCCAAATCCTGCTGCCACCCCTGTCTGGAATAAGGTCATATGTTTGGTTGTGTCGGAATGATAAGTAAAGCTTGGTTTCCATACAATAGCTACACCCTGTCGCCGACAGCTTTCGGTGACGTTGATTGTTCGGTCGAATAGGGGAGTCTTCACGATTGCATCAAGGACTGCTGCACAGCGCAACGATTGCACTGAAAATACTTTAAAGAAAGTGTAGCGATTTTGAGGAAACAAGGCCTAAACACTGATTCCTCTTTTTACCAATATAACAACTTCAACAATCAATATATAGAGAATTATATTCTGATTGCCAATCCGATTTAATGACTTTTACTATACTTGTAATCTAATCAAGATTAATTCTTAACATAAATCTGGATTTGTTTTGTCACATTTGAGAAAATCTCATCATTCGTCAACAGAAATATGAATCAGAATAATTAAAACTAAAATAGATGTATAATGTTTAGGATATTACAGGAATTACATAAAGCAAAAGCGCACAATATAATTATAAGGTTTCATTCTCTAATAAAACACTATTAAAAAATCACCTAAGTAAGATACTTGAAAAGTCACAATAACAAAATCAAATTATATTAAATATGATGTTTTCTTTACACATATCATTCATGAAAAATATTGTTTATCTAATGATATGTACCATTAAATAAAATCATAAAATTATTGAATACATATAAGATCGTCATAGTAATGAGCAACACTGATATACATGTATATATTGATTTGAAATAATATAGTTTGAAAGGTAAATTGGCATTAAAATTTAAAAACGTGATGTATCAGAACAGACGTACTAAGGCTGGAATAAAAATATTTGCGGTCTGTAACGAAATAAGACGTATCATTGGTGACAATTATCTTAAGGATTAATACTTCAATAAATTACATTAATTATATTTCATGACAGTAAATTTGTGAGCCAATTTTCTTATCATTACAGTTTTATTCTGTACATTCTGTGGTCCTAGTCTTATTAATAAATTAGGTCTTACTGTTAGCTTAACATTGAGGCTGACTTTCGCCAGGTTTTCATACATCTAAACTTCTAACGCTTATATCTCTGGACAACTCATCGTAAAGCCATCCAAAGACAAAGGTTAAGCTTAAATTGTGATCTAATGGAATATGAGAAACTCAATTTTGTATTTTTTTATGTGAATGATTTTAATAGATATTATACGTATCCAATCTTCACATCAGACACACGCCTTACGACAAACAATGGTATATAAATGTATCTCCTCAATTTATGTAGGGTAAAACATTAGCTACTCAGCATAATATATTTTTTCTTAAGAGTTTAATTCGTGCCTGCACGATTCATACAAATAGATAGTTGTTTCAGCATTAAACAGAAATACCGCGTTTTCCAACTGATTAGCTGAATTTCAGTTAAAGGTTTTTCCAGTCAAAATGTTCAATTTCTTTATAATGTAAAAGTGATCATATGCACCCATCATTGTTGGTTTTTAAAATTCAAGATGGTTTAACATTCTTCCTTTAAAAGTATTTATACTGTACATGTAATTTACCTAAACACATCTTTTACCAAGATCTCCATGAACAAAATATTTAAAATATCAGAAAAATGTTCACATAAAGAATTCTTTTTATCTCGCAAAGGCCTATCAATTTTTTTAAATTTTAATTTCAATAAGTACTTAATCAACACGTATTAAAGACCATAGGCCTAGTTATAAACTGTTAATTAATTTTTTATTTTCAATCGCAAGGCGTTGAAGGTACGTGCTTTGGTCTTCAACCTTTCGTCTAACCAAATATTCATCCGACCAAAATTTTACACAATTTTCGCCAAAAGTAGCCTATCCAAACAAACAGAAACATATGGTAATGTTACCACCAACATGTAGGCCTAGGCCAATGAATAATGTAAGAGAAAAATAAAAACTCAATGGTCATAGTATAAATCTGGCTGAGGGCAAGGCGTAGGCACCCATCACACTCCCTGGGTCCGGCCTGTGGTCCATCCCATCGGATTTAATTATACAGTACCATCTGACCGTGAATTTTAAAATACAACAGGGAGTCATTTCCGAAGAGTGCACTGCTTTCTTAATGTGGATCATGTTTTTTTTTTGGAACTTAAAGCGGTACTGCATCGTATGACGGTGGTACGACCGTGGTACATCGGTGATAGTATGATAGGATACGGTAGTCATTAAAAACGATCCCTTGCGCACGCGTCGTGGCGTTGCGTTCTCCATAGTCGCAATGTCGCAATGAGAAAAATGTCATCCTGACATATAATCTTTTGTCCGAACTCGTATTAATTCACAGGAGTAATAAAATTCACTAAATCCATTATTTAGAATATAAAAAAACCTATTACACAGTAGGCCTACTATAATATTATCACATATCAATAAGCGATATTATCCTGTCTTTAAGGTGAAAACCACAACATCCATTTAAAAAAAAAACCTTGTCTTGATTTCGCCATGCAATAATATAACTAGTTTACTAATTATTTCAATATTAGACAAGGCAACTCCAATCTTAATTCCATTCTCTTTAATCTGACGCAAGCATTTTGAAGAAAACATTAAATTAATTGGAAAACTCTTATTTTGAAGTAAAGTGATATGGCCCGACAATAGTTTAAAACGCTTCTTTTAATAGTTTTCCATAAATCCAGACTTAACTACGGTAACTTATAAAATTGCGACCGCATATTTTGTACAATATGAACATTTTCTATATATCAATTACCGATATTTATGTATTTGTTCCAGTTCCATAATGTTATGCATTAGCACTGTTCCATATGAAGTCAAGTATATTTTAGTAATTACATATATTATATATACAATTATATATATATAATATTGACAAAATATTAGTAATTGAAAGTAATCGCTGAATCTTCAATAAACTTCCAGTAAATGGCATACTATTGCTCAGTTTTATGATATTATAAGCCTAATATATAT